TCTAAACCACTGAGCCTAGGGCTTGCTGATCAAAAGGTTGGCGGTTCGAATCCCCACGACAGGGCGAACTCCCATTGCTCGGTCCCTGCTCCTGCCAACCTAGCAGTTTGAAAGCATGTCAAAGTGCAAGTAGATAAATAGGTACCGCTCCGGCGGGAAGGTAAACGTGTTTCCGTGCGCTGCTCTGGTTTCACCAGAAGTGGCTTAGTCATGCTGGCCACATGACTCAGAAAAACTGTCTGCAGACAAACGTCAGCTCCGTCGGCCAGCAAAGCGAGATGAGCGTCGCAACCCCAGAGTCGTCCGCAACTGGACTTAACTGTCAGGGGTCCTTTACTTTTTAATTTATGGACCTAATAGGTATCTAAAGCCATTTTCACATAACAAAATAACCAGTCCATGCAGAATGTAGGCACACCTATATATAGAAATGAGCAAACCAGTGATATTTTAGGGAGCAGGCTAGCAGGCGGGGCCCATTGCTTACATCATAGGAGCCTACACAACACAAAACACTGTTGCTGTATGTAGGTTTTATTTTTTTTATTTTTTATCATATTTTGTAAATGTACATCCAGGTTCTTTTTCTTTAATTTTTTTGGGGGGCCCCCAAGAGAGTGGGGCCCTAAGCTATAGCTTGTTTAGCTTATACGTAAACCCGGCACTCTGATGGTGCTCTCTGCAAATCCTACTCTTCTTCTTTGTATGAAACTCTTCCCAGAGACAGAGTTATGATTGGGCTGGACTCTGATAGAAAGGGAGGGGGCAATCATTTTTGCCGATCCCTTCTCCCCCCTGCAGCCACTCACATTGCCACCTATGCTGCTCCAAACCCTCCAGAGCGGCTTTTCAGGGGCTGCAGTGGGAAGCAGGAACTCCCCCCGCACTACTGAAGGAATGCCCTGGCAGCAGATCAGAGGCAGATTTAGGGCAGTGTGACCAGTTCCTCCTCTCTGGGCACCAAGCCTAGGAGATGCCACAGGGCGTCTCAACTATGACGTAGTGAATTGAGCAGAACGGGAGGCATGAGAGGTGGGAGCGCCGAATTTTGGCCTCTCACAGGGCACCGCTGAAATTTTAAAGACCAAAGTCCTCCCCTGAATGGATTTCTGCCTATGTGAACTCTAGATCCAAGCCCCATGCAGTGGTACCTCGGGTTAAGAACTTAATTCGTTCCAGAGGTCCGTTCTTGACCTGAAACTGTTCTTAACCTGAGGTACTACTTTAGCTAATGGGGCCTCCCACTGCTGCTGTGCCGCCGGAGCACGATTTCTGTTCTCATCCTGAGGTAAAGTTCTTAACCCGAGGTACTATTTCTGGGTTGGCAGAGTCTGTAACCTGAAGCGTATGTAAGCTGAAGTGTATGTAACCCGAGGTACCACTGTACACTGCAACTGGTCCAGGGCTCTTGAAACTTGCCCACATGGCAAATTTGAGGCATACGCCCGCTTCACATGTTGCAGTGAACACACTAGATCTGTGGAGGGTATGCATGAAAACTGAAGCATGTGCAGCCACCCTGTTTGTAGCACCAGCCGAAGTGAATTTCGAACCCTTCCTTACTCAAGCTAAGTCAACATGCTACTTATTGGATTCAATGGGTTTTACTTCCACGTCATGCGCTGGTGGAGTATAAGTTGTTAAGGAAATAACTACTGCCATGATTTAGTTTGGCGCTCAGGCATAATGTTCCGTAGCTGGACTTGTCCTCATACTGACTACAAAATTTATGTGAGTAAAGGCAGCTTGCCCAAGGAGTTACAAGAGAAGACCAGTCCCTTTCCCCACAAGCCGACTGCCATTTATATCTATCAACCATAGTCTTTTGGGAGACAGATGACATTTCTCTTCTCTGTGCTTTTTGTGATATTTGAAGAGACTGGGAAGATCAGCGGGGGGAAATGTAGAGAGAAAGACAAACAACTAATTTTCTGTCTTTGGAAGGGGGGAGTTGTCTATTGTGTTTGTATATAGATAAATATTGGCATATTTACTTTGGCAGCGTTCACTCTGCTTAATGCTGTCTGATGTTATAGTGCCTCGGTTCTTTTGCTTCCCAGAAGATGAAAGGGATGTTTTTTTGCACATGCATGATAGTAACTTGCTTGCAACTTGATACCAGATTGGTAGAACTCCCAGCCTTCATTTTGGAGTAATTTGGGATTTTACTGAAACAAAACCCACTTTCTAAGTAAGGCCAAGGAGTTCCCAGAAACTATTTTAATCGACACAGAGCTGACATAGTTTCGCTTGTAGCGCTCATGCCCCAACTCATCTCGCTGCCTACTGTTCTAGTCCTAATTCATGCTGTTTCCCCCCCTTTGGGGGTCTGAAGTTTGACTTTCAAAAGCTTCTGGCCCTCCTTAAATCCAGCGCTGACCCTCACTCGAAAATGCAGGGTTTAAAGCTGAAACTCTCCCCCTCCCCCCCAACACAACATCAGATTTTGATTTTAAGCTAACTGTTGAGTTTTGCTTCTAAATGCCTTTCTCAAAATTGCTTCAGTGTGTAGCTTTTCTGAAACTTTATTTCCTCTTTTCGTTCTGAGGCTTCCCTGGCTTTGGACTCCCATCTCAGATCTGTTATTTTCTTTTTGTACAACGGCTCTCGCTCTCTCTCTCTCTCTCTCTCTCTCTCTCTTTTCGGGAGAACCAAATGGCATGGCACTTCACAACAGCAAATGGCCCTTTTTAATGGTTGACCTAATCATCCCTCTTGCTTTCTACCTCGACTCCACCTTATTTTGAGCTGTTTGACCAGGAATCTGAGCCAAGGGGCTCATCTGTAATGCCCAGGGCTGGATTTAGGTTTGATGAGGCCCTATGCTACTGAAGGTAATGGAGCCCTTTATATGTGATATTTTAGGGAGTAGGCTAGCAGGTGGGGCCCATTACTTTCATCATAGGAGCATACACAACACAAAACACTGTTGCTGTATGTAGGTTTTATTTGTTTTTTATCTTATGTTTTGGAAATGTACATCCAGTTTTTTCCCCTTTAAATTTTTTTGGGGGCCCCCAAGAGATCGGGGCCCTAAGCTATAGCTTGTTTAGCTTATATGTAAATCTGGCACTGACTGTGCCAGAAGAAGAGCCAAGATGGTGGGTGGCTCACTCAGAGGAGCACAAGAAAAGGAAACCTCAGAGGGAGAAACCAGAATCTCCAGGATACAAACACACGTTATGGTTAGAGTTGCCATCTTGTAAGCACCAAAGTTTAAGGAAATCAGCCCTTAAGGAAATCAGCCCTGAGTGCTCACTGGAAGGACAGATCGTGAAGCTGAGGCTCCAATACTTTGGCCACCTCATGAGAAGAGAAGACTCCCTGGAAAAGACCCTGATGTTGGGAAAGATGGAGGGCACAAGGAGAAGGGGACGACAGAGGATGAGATGGTTGGATAGTGTTCTCGAAGCTACCAGCATGAGTTTGACCAAACTGCGGGAGGCAGTGGAAGACAGAAAGTGCCTGGCGTGCTCTGGTCCATGGGGTCATGAAGAGTCGGACACGACTAAACGACTAAACAACAACAACAAGCACCAAAGTTTAGGAGACATGTAAACAAAATTCTGCATCATCGTGAATTGACAATGAGCAGAACACAAATGCTCAGCCTGAGAATTAATGTGACAATACTGTGTTGATGTTCCCCAAAACCAAGCAGACTTTCAGAAAATCAGAGTCCAAGTTAATTTTCAAGTTGGAATAGGACCTGGTGTATGCTGAAGGTTTTATCATTGTGCCCGTCAAAGCACCTGAACTTCTGTAGCAGGCTATAGATTGCCTTCCTTGGAGTAATCCAAATGGTAGAGAGGTGGTTGAGCAGATCCAATTCCATAGGTACAGGGTTGTTTCAAGACTCCAGATGCTGCTCCTGGGCCTATGGTTACCAACCTACTGAGGTATCCACATACAGCTGTTCCTGGTGACTTTTTGAGGTAGAAGCCTCTAGGTAGGCCTGGACAGGCCTCCACAAACATCCATTCAGACCTCTAAACCCACCTCTGGAAGCCTCGCAATCCTGGATTCCAGTGGCATTTGTAATGATGAGGGAAGACTGGGGTTAAGTACAGTGTGGAGCTCAACCACATTAGCACCTGCCTATAAGTCTTCCTACCTTTTGCTCCTACCTTTACCAGCTGTAAAGCTATTGGAGGGTAAGATTTAAGTGATGAAACCTATTGGAAACGCCAGTGTTAAAACTGTTGAATTCCAATCTACCAGACAATTAAATTGTGTCCGAAATTGAGATTATGTTTGTTTGTTTGTTTTTATCACGCTAGATGCGCTAGATTTGCATAACAGTGCCAGGTTTTTTTTGTGTTACCACCAACACTACCTTGTTAATCAGCTAGTGTAATTATTTTTGTTGGGGACAATTGTCACTGTCTGTCAGGCTCAATTGTAAAGACAACCTCCTCAACCAAGAGGTCTCCTCTGCCAAAAACTTGAGAAAATGACTCATTCTCCTACTTCCATGCACTCGAGCATTTCAGGTGTGTGTGTGTGTGTGGCAGATTGGTAGAGAAGAACATGCATTGTGGGCTCAAAGTCTGTGATTCAACTTTTGCTTCAGCCATTAACTTACTGTGTGACTTTAAGCAAACTAAAACCCATAACCCACCTCCCAATCTGCAATAGCTGAATCCTGATACTGACCTCCAGGGATGTGGGGAGGATGACAGTGGCTGAGTGGTTTTGCTTTTTAGTCTTGTGGCAGTGTTTAGCTCTTTCTCTGTGTGAAATGATTTGCCTGTTCTTGTGTTGGGTTGTTCTTATGTTTGCCTTGTTCTTATGTTGGGTTGTCTAAGATTTTGCTATTCCAGTAGGTTTTAAACAACATGATCTATACTGTACATCAATGTAAGGATATTTCTTTGCACAGCGGAGCCCTAAATCTGTTCTGGGGGTTCCCCCAAAACTTTCAGAGCAGATTTGGGGATGGTGTGGAGGAAGGAGAGGGAGAAAATGCCCCGTGTGTATTGTTTTTTAATCTGTGTGTCACCTAGATAACTTTTAATGAAGCAGCTAATACAAATGCATACATAAATCACACATGAAGTGCTTCGGAAAAGTGCCATGTAAATTACCAAGAATTTACGTGGAACTTTCCCCAAGCATTTCACACGTGGTTTATGAATGCATTTATGTTCACTGCCTCATTGAAACTTATCTAGGTGATCCTATGAAGACGGCAGCAACTGACCTTGGAGAAGAGTGCAAGTCAATAGGAAGGGCTGTAATGTCTTTTGGAGGGCATGACGCTGTTTAATGCATTTTGGAGATGGCTTCTATGAAGGCATGAGCAGAAGGCATTAAGATGTTACACTGCTTTTGGAGCCCCTATTGTACTTCAAGCGTCCCAGTGGTTAATCTCTGCAAAGCCTTCCTGCAATTAATTATTAAGCTGGCCTCCTTCGTAGCATCAAACAAGCATGGCTGGAATGTGTTTGATATAGAGGTGGTCAGGCATGGAATGGGGGCGAGAGATGGAGGCACCGCGGTTTTTGTCTTGCAGCAGATTTTCATTTCCTCTCCACTATTGGTCCCCTGTTATTTTCAGCCACCCTGCTTCTTCCCTCCAATAAAATGAAATGACCATGACATACCTCCTGAGAAGGACATGACGCCTTAATAATCAGTTGTGCTGCCCAGCTTGCAAATGATGTAAAACATCCTTTCTAAGGGATGTTTCTACCTTCTAAGGGATGTTTCTAACTTGACATGATGCTGAATGTGTTGTTCAGAAGCTTATCAGTTGTTGTTTTTTGGAAAGCTAAAAATAATAACAGGTATGTCCCCCCTCACCCTGCCCCAGCTTCCATCAGGACTGTGCCACATGGAGGTTTGACTGTGGGCCCAATGGAATCACACCCCACACAAATACTTCAGCTATCCTAGAAGAAAATGGCCTTACTGGCACCAAGGGGAAATTCCCACCCCAGGGTTAATAGCAGCAGAGAGGGGTTGTTGGCACCTCAGCAGGAGAAGAAGGGGTTAATCTCCCCTCTGCACAGTACCAATGAAAATCAGCATACACATGCTTTTTTAATATATATATATATATATATATATATATATATAGCTCCCTAACTATGTGTTTAGTGTCAAAACTACGGTAGTTTGCCCTTACAGTATTAAAAGCAGTTTAAAGTATTGGTACTCTTAGTTTACTGGGTAGAAGGCACAGCGAGAATAATACAGTGTCACACTTTTAGTGGAAGCATTTCTACATACAGTGGTACCTCGGGTTACAGACGCTTCAGGTTACAGACTCCGCTAACCCAGAAATAGTACCTCAGGTTAAGAACTTTGCTTCAGGATGAGAACAGAAATTGGGCTCCGGTGGTGCAGCGGCAGCGGGAGGCCCCATTAGCTAAAGTGGTGCTTCAGGTTAAGAACAGTTTCAGGTTAAGAATGGGCCTCCAACCTACCTCCTGGGAATAACAGATTTGGATTTTCCGCAAAAGAGGAAGGGTATCTTTTTATATGCGACGGCGGCAGCAAGAGTTCTGATCATGGCAAAATGGAAGAGTAATGTAATCCCCTCTATACAAGATTGGATCCAAAAGCTGACAGAATATGCCGAATTAGATTGTCTGTCAGAAAAAATAAAGAATAAATCAAAACAGGAATTTGTTTCAAAATGGGAGGTTTTCAAAGAATATCTGAAAAATAAATATAGTAGTTTAAATTCTGTTGCAGCATTTGAGGAACTTCAGTAATAGTTGCAAGGTAGGTATAAGAAATTAGATATATTAAGAAAAAGTTTAATTATGATAAAAGTGTGTATTGGCAATAAGTAATATGAAATCGAAATATGGAATAGACAGGAGGTTGGGTCTTTAGTGTTAAGACCAATATATGTTTTATTGTTTGCTAAGAAAATTACGTGTCTATGGTTATTCCTGTGTGTAACTTGGTATTTGTGTTTTTTTCTTTTTTCTTGCTGTATCAATAAAAATCTTTAAAAAAAAGAAAAAAAAGAATGTGCCTCCAGAACAAATTAAGTTCTTAACCTGAGGTATCACTGTACTAGACAGAATGAGATCCTCTCCTGCCCTGTGTGTTGTTCTGGGGGTTCTCCTGAAGCCACCCCAAGCCAATTTTGGGGAGCATGTGGAGAGGAAAGAAAGCTCTGCTGCCCTAGTGGGACTAAGTGCATAGGCTCCTGCTAGCACAACAATTTAGTTGAATCCAGCCCAGAGAGTGTCCATTACTGTTGAATTCGTGGCAATGGATGCAACATGTTTGGCTGGAGCAATGTTTATGTATGTAGCACCTCTACCTACCAGACAATAATATTCTACTTTCTTATTGTCTTGTTGCTGTTCTGAAAAGTGTCGTATTGTTTTCGTTTTAAGAGGGAATCCGAAACATTGGGAGAGGCCATAGCTTAGTGGCAGAAGCCCATGGACATAGCCAGGATTTATTGGGGGGGGGGGAGGCAGAACACACACCTGTCCTGTTCCAGAACTGAGCTACCTGTGATGCGATTGGTTAGTTTGTGGAAGCCATGCCTATCACTCAGTCTCGTCGCCAGTTGAGTTGCTAGAATGCACCACAACATCATCCAAGTGACCTCTGTGAGCATTTCAATTTCAAATATTCTGATTATTTCTACTTTAAGTATTCTAATGGAGAGAAAAGGTAACTGACTTTCTGTATTCCCTATTCTCCAGATGATGGGCCTGGATGCGAGAGGCGTGTTTTGCAATGCAGTTTGGAGACTTGGTTATTGTCTTCAGTAAAGTCAGCCATACCTAAAGGTAATACAGTGGTACCTCGGGTTACAGACGCTTCAGGTTACAGACTCTGCTAACCTAGAAATAGTACCTCAGGTTAAGAACTTTGCTTCAGGATGAGAACAGAAATTGTGCTCCGGCGGCGCAGCAGCAGCGAGAGGCCCCATTAGCTAAAGTGGTGCTTCAGGTTAAGAACAGTTTCAGGTTCACTTCCGGGGGCGGCGCGAACGGCGAATGGCGGTCCTCTTCTGAACGGGAGAGGAGGCTCCGCAGACAACGGGTCGTCCGCTACGGCGAAGCGGAGACCCACATCGGAAAACCCCAGGCAGCAAGAGCGGGGGGTCTGGGGGCTCGGGGGGCGCCTGGAGCGACCCTCCAAGCGCGAAAGGAACCCCGTAAGGGGCTCCGGAGCGTGGAGGGGGGTTGCGGCGCTGAGAGCTGCTTCACAGTCTGTGGAGCGAAGCCGCGCTGCTGTTGCCGGTGAGCGCTGATCCCTTTTCCTGTCAAAATTCGGATTCGGATGAAAAGCAACTTATTCGTGAGTAAAGACTGAAATTACTTGAAATTAGAGACTTTAAATGAAAAATCCTAATTGGTTTGAAGAGACGGAGAGACGTGGAAACAGGAAGTCCGTCTTCCGCAGCCATTGAACTTGAAAAAAGCAACGAGCTGGAGGAGTGGAGGCTGAAAGAAAGAGATTTTAAACTTTACAGATCTAAGCATCTACTGAACTTGCAATTGAAGGTAAAGACTTTAAGTTAAAGATTTGGAATTATTACTTGCACTTGACTTTCCTCCTTTTATTGGATTACAAATTAGAAGGTGAAACCCAGAGTCAGGAGCTGCCTGAGCATTGAGAGATTGAGCTGTCAGTATTGCAGATTTGGATACTGTATATTGGAACTTGCAACAATCTGAGGGTATTGAGACCTTTTAAATTTGAAACATTCTTTTTGGAGACAAATAAGCACTGTCTGTAACAAAGTGACCATTTATAAACTCTGCTAAATATTTGTATCTGAAGGTTCTTGGATATTAAATTAGACTCTGAAAGACATTTTAGGCTCCCTCTAGAGGATTGGATTAAAACAGTGACTTTACATGTACATTTACTTTTGATTCCCTTGTTGTTTGCCGCTCTGGGCCTTTCCATTCCCATGGGAAAAACTCAGTGTGACCTTGACTGATAGATAACGTTGGAATGAGTGGCACAAGAAAAGAGGGAGAGTTAGACAAACAACTTTAACAACTCTAACCTCAGCCTCGCAGACACGTAGATCATCTGTACCTACTTTGCCCTCAGAAGTAGAAGTTGAAGAAGTTGCCTTGTTACAGGCAAAAGAGGGAGAGGGTGAAGCAGAGCAGTTACAACTGGAAGATATGGCCTCAGGAGTATCTGTTTCTGTTCTAGACAAAATCTTTGAAAAATTGGAAGCTTTGGACAAGAAAGTAGATGTGCAATCAGCAAAGATTGACAAAAATACAGAATGTCTAAATAAATTAACCATACAAGTGGTACAGAATACACAAGCAATTGGACAGTTAACGGAGGCCTCAGCAGAAAATCGGAAATTGGCTGAGGACACCAGACAAAAATTAGAAAATTTAGAGCAAGAGGTAAGACCACTTACTAAACAAGTTGGGGAACATCAGATTTATCTTTCTATGATAGAACTGCGAAATCGTGAGAACAATCTGAGGATTAGATCATTACAAGAGGCAGAAGAAGGAAATTTAACTGAATTTCTGACCAAAGAATTCTCAAGTTCTGGAATTTGGAAGAAAAGGACTTTAAAATTGTGTCAGCTTTCAGACTTGGAAGATTCATAAAGAAGGAGAGGCCCAGAGACTGTTTGATAACATTGAGATCAAAGGAGGAAAGGGATAAGATTTTGGGCCTACATTACGGAAAGTCACTGGAGGTGTTGGACAGAAGAATTGAAATATATAAAGATATTCCAAGACAACTGCTGGATCTTAGAGCCGCCTATTCTGAACTTGCTAAACTACTAAGGAGCAACGCAATTCCATTCAGGTGGGAATTTCCCCAAGGAATATCTTTTACTTTTAGAGGGAGAAAGGTCAAAGTTAGAACATTGGAAGAGAGAGACAAATTTTTGACTACATACGGAGAGGACCTTCAAAAGGAATTGAATTACCTTCTGGGCCTGGGGCAACGCCAGCATTAACACCAGCACCTGGGGAACCTGAAGATTCAGAGAAGATACCACCCCTAGAGAAATAACCAGATTGATCCAGGATGTCTCTGCAATTGCTGAGCTGGAATATTAATGGTTGTAACATTCCGGACAAAAGGACGAAAATATTTCACATATTAAAAAAGAACAATTGGACATTATCTGTTTACAAGAAACACATGTGACGAGGCTCCATAGAAAAGTGTTAATAAATAAAAGATTGGGCCAGGAATTTG